GTGCCCAAAGGTCCCCACTCTCTTCTACTATATACGTTCGGTCATTTGTGTCCTGGATTAATTTTCATCACTTTTTCATCACAAGTATATATAAATATATAAATTAGTATACATAAATTATTAAATGATTTTTACATATATTTTTGATATCTTAGAAAGTATTTGTACAATTATATTCATAACAAATTTTGCAGATAAATTATTATAACTAAATATAGTTAACAAAATGAGAAAAATGCACTGTTTCATATAAAAATACAAACATATTTAAATACAAACATACAAAATACAAACATATTTAAAAGAAAAATATAGTTCAATATCTTAAAATTAATATTTCAAAAAAAATTGATCAGCTGTCCAAAAAGTTTAATTATTGAGTAATCTGAAAATAATATTTTCTTAATATGCGTGAATGATCATTGAAGATATATTATATTTACATTTTAAACAATGCATTTTATTATTGCTATTATATTAAAAAAAAACTTATAATTTATTAGGGAAATATTCTTTATAACATTACAGACAACGTAATATATTACTGACAACATTTATCAAGTGCACAAGAGAACCAAAAATTGTATTTATTAAGAGCTAATATGTTCTAAAAAAATTTCTTTTTTAATAATTTGCGAAATATTCCTGCAAAACAACTTAGAATTGATTAAAAATAAAGAAAAAAATAAAAATTTTTTAATTACAAAAAATGTACATTCTGTACATATGTTGGATTATTTGTAATCTAAAGGGAAACTTCGCCAGAGGTGAATTATGCCAGTTAAAGAATACGCACAAATTGAGCCAGCAACACACAAAACTTGTAGATGCCAAACTTTTTTTAGAAATAAAAAAGAGCCCAATATTTGATCAGATGCTCATAGTATTTCAAAGAAAAGAAATGCGCAGGACGAATGACCCAAAAGTGTGAGTTACGGATTAATAGTAACAAATATATTCATGTTTTCATTTTAATATATACAAATATATCTACAAATATCTATATATTATAAATATATTTTTTTCTATTCGCACAAGTATATTTTTCGAAGCTTAGAAGTAAGTTTCCAAGGCACTTTAAACTTTAACTTTCGAAGATTTGAATTCTTCCTAAGCATCCGAATCTTTGAAAATAACAACTCCAATTTGGACTCTTATTTTAGTATTACAGGAAGTAATACAAGTTATTTTAAGCAGGTTTGTGTTATATATTTATTTAAGTATTATGTAAAAAAATACACACACACACACACACACACACACACACAAACGCGCGCGCAAGCTCTGTTTTCCAAAATTTACTGGCAGTACTAAAAATGTATAGTGCATGTAATATGAACTGAATAGATTTTTAATACTAAATAAATTTTGAAACACAACCAAAATAGAATCACATTTTAAGATCTCCATTTTAAGACTATATGATATAGTGTACTTATTTCTTTTTCCTTTTTAAATTAATAATTAGATTAATTCTTTATGTTTATAAGTCTAAATTAATATTTTATCATTAAAAATATGAAATGCATGAGAAATTTATACATATTTGTACATATTACATGAATTAAGAGTGACCTATTTCTTTGTATGTAAAATTTTCGTAAAATTTTGATAACAATACTGTATTATTCAGTAGCGTTTTAGGATTAAATTATAAGAAAATAGAATATAATGATGTAAATTTTAATAAATTTTAATATTTCTTTCATTTAAAGAAAAAGAACATTTAATAAAAACCTTCTCAGGAAATATCTTCTCGGAATATTTGTTATAGGTGATAATAATCACAGATCTTTTTTTACAAAATATATTTTAATATATGTTTTAACATAAAATATATTCTAGCAATTTTATGCTTATTTATATATCTTACGTCATTATGTAAAAATTACAAAAATGTGTAAATTATTACTTATTACAAAAATACTTCTGAATTACTTAGACTATACTTAATTAGATGGCAACAATGGTAATTTATTTAATTAAAGCATTATGTACGCTGAACTATCAAAAATAATAATAGAACAAATAAAAATACAATCAACTGAAGGTACAACTGAGAGCAAGAATGTCTGTTCTAGTCAGGTGAGATTAAACTGTCTTTGCAGACTGAGTTTTCATATAATTCAATGATTAACCAATTACTAAAAAGAATGTATAACGCAAAAAAAAAATTCGCAATTCTACTCACGACATCTAAATCATTTTTGCTCCGCTGGTACATTTAGTATACTTTTTTATACACTATCATGACACTATTAGCATTATTACAATTTAAAGTACAGAGAACTCAGAATAAAGTCATTACACATACAAAAATTTTGATCGTAATCGTAAGGCTGTAAGCAAATCGGTCAATCATAGTCAAGCATTTGAAAACAGAGAGATGAGATCGCAATTTGATTGTGACTGGTAAAATTGTTTGAGACTTTATGATTTGATTGACTAAAATTTTTATACGTGTAATAATCTTAAATAAACATAAATATCATTTATTCGTAAAAGTATCAAAAAAAAATGAAAATAAACTAACTACTAACTTATATACTTGTACATTATTACATATTATAGTTACTTACAATAGTAATTTCTTATCAAAAAGAATCTTAGTAGCATTATTTGGATGAATAGCAATAATTGCATTAAATATTCATAACAAGTTATGAAATCACGAGATTCATTCACTCTTAGAGCAAAATAACAAGTGTTTATATATACATATATATTTTTTTTATATATCACAACATTTACATATAATTTAATTCGTTCGAATATACTTCAATTCGTTGTTTCAGATCGCGGTAAGTGAGAATCAAAATCTAAAACAAAAAAACATTAAATTAATTGAAAATTTCATTTTTATAAAGATTTGTACTATTCAATAATGAAATCTTTCGGATTATTTCTTATTTAGAAGAATATATTACATATTACATATAAATCGTTTATATTAACCCTAATTGATCATTGGAGGTCACTATGACCCAACTAAAAGTTTGGACTAAATTTTCATCAACTTAAATTTCGAAATAACGCTTGACGCTCCATTTATCAGTAGTTTGAATCTCTAACTACATTATCATGCGGTTGACATGGTGTAAAACGCGTTAGGAACTCCGCACAATAAAAGGAACGAACAGAGAATAATAATTTCAACCTATCAGAAACTGTATTCCATTATACATGATAGACTTTCAGTTATGAATTTTTTGACTATTTTAAAATTATTAATTCAGCAAAAAACCAATGCGAATATATATTTTAAAGTTCAAAGAATGTCCCTAATTTTTTTTAATCTTATATCTATAAAAATAAAGCTGTGGCAGTCAAATGTACTGGAGTCATGTTGACCCCGTGTCAGTACGTAATTTTCACAAAGTGTGATCATCGAAGGTTAATATATAAATCGTTTATATGTATTCAGATTTTGTTATTTTTAATTCATTAAAGTTTAGATAATTCAAGATATTACATTCATTTTGGAGATATTCACCCATAAAATACGTAGAACAGAATCATCCAAAAACTCATTCTTTTTAAAAGCATTGTCTATTTGATCTCGCGAAACTATCTTCAATTTGTGCAATAATGCCAATGCGGTTTGCAACGAGATCAAATGAATAGAGAGAATGTGTTTCTCAGAATCACGCGGAACATTTAGAGGATATCTAAAATGATAAAAGTATATTTCTACAAAGCGTTGTCTAAAGGTGTGTGTGTGTGTGTGTGTGTGTGTGTGTGTGTGTGTGTGTGTGTGCGTGCGTGCGTGCGTGCGTGTGTGTGTGTGTGCGCGTGCGTGCGTGCGTGCGCGCGCGCGCGTGTGCGTGTGTGTGTGCGTGCGTGCGTGTGTGTGTGGTGTGTGTGTGAAATCGTAATATAACAAAATACAATGAAGATGTATAAATTATATACATAGGGGAAAAAATGTCAGTGTCCCTGAATAATTCAGAAAATATAAGTTTTATAGAAAAATGTTTCAAACAAAAATTATAGGGATTAAATCTATTTACCAATTTTGGGTATCATCGCTAAATGTCAAATCTATTTACCAATTTTGGATATCATCGCTAAATGTCAAATCAAGATTACATCAATTTTTTTTAATGGATGGAACACTATTTTTGCCAGAATTTAATAGGTGATGTCAAGAGAGCATTTCAAAACACTGTAATAAATTCTTTTTCATTAAATACTTTTCGAGTTTATAAAGCTTGAAAATACCGCCGACACTACGCAAGGTATTCGATCAACGGCTAAAATCTTTTGAATGTTATTCGGAATCATGTTCTAGATAACATTTGTCAAGATCAAGGTCATTGGAGATTATTTCTCTTATTTTTACTTTTACACTAAAAATTCATTTTTACATAAAAATAAGAAGTATAATCTTTTCCTTGGACTTGATCTTGACAAATGTTATCCAGAATATGATTCTAAACAACATTCACATTTTAGCCGTTGGTCGGACACTTTGCATAATGCTAATGCCGGCGGTAATGTAATTTTCAAGCCTTATAACTCGAAAAGTACTTAATACAAAATAATTTTATTATACTGTTTTGAAAAGCTCTTGACATCAGCTATTAGATTCATCAAAAATAGGATGTTTCATCCATTAAAAAAAATCGATTAATCTTGATTTAACCTTGATGCCACCCAGGTCAAATTGATAAGATCAGTAAATAGATCTTTTTAAGCCCTTTTGTCTGAATCATTTTTTTATAAAATTTATGTTTTCCGAGTTATTCAAGGGTACCGATCTTTTTTCTCAATCTATATATAATTATATATATGTATTATATTTTTTTAAATATATACTAACAAAATGGGAATATTTTATTGTAAATATTTTGTAAATATTACGTGGGAAATCGTGAGAATTATAAATGCCTTTTGAGAAATTTTTTATGAGAAATCTCTCAATTCATAATCGGCGGAATTCAACTTTGATACCGATCCTCATCTCATGCATGCTTCGGTTTTAGAAATAAGAAATTATGTTAAAAGTGAGATGATGGCGTAAAGGAGTATGACAAATACAACCCATATCGAGAACTCATATTTTAATAATTTATAAGATTAAAGATGGTAATTATAAGTATTAAAATATTCAAATTTACCTGTCTAATTGTAAAAATTGCGATGGATACTGAGATCTTAGGATTTCTTTAAAAGTAACTTTTATATTCAACATCTCTATCTTGGTCAATAAATGAGAGAACAATTTGAAATTCGTAAAGACTTTTACAAATTCATTTGTCAATATCCAACCGTCCTGTTCGAAATGAAATATAAATGTTATGCCTTCAACTGAATCTACAAAAAAAAATGTTAATGGTTAATTTCTCATATACAATATCGAAAGATAAATAGTTCAATCAGCTAAATATTTAATAAAATCATACCAATTTTTTGAAATAGAAAAGAGTTAAAAGCCATATTCCTGTTTTGTACAGATCCCTTCTCATTGTTATACCAAGAATTCGCATAAATATCCATTGATCCTTCTTTATCATAATCGTCATTAACTTTAGAAATATTACTCGAATTGGTTACTTCATTCTTTCGAGGTACTGATTTTCTATCATTATCACAGTTCCAATCTTGGTTAGCTAAAATAATCGGTGTATTCTCACTGTGATTCAATAAAGGAATGCTGCTTTGAAACTTCGAATTAGTCCAACTTGGAATCTCGAATTGATTCCAAGACTGCGATACAGTTTGCAAATTGTCTGCGTTTCTATTTTGGTGGCAGTAAATCGCTTCGCCATTTGTCGAACCATGTGAACCGTGCATGAAATACATTGATAGTCGAGTAACATAGTTCTCGTCACTGTGCGAATTATCTCTTACATTGTTATTTATTATATTGTTATTTACAGTGTGCTGTGTGTGCAAAGAAGCAATATTCTTTGTAGATTGCGAAACCTGAGGTGCAAGTTTTTTATTACTTTGTTCTAATTTAAGAGATTGAGCGTTTTGGACATTATCAAAATTGCTACTACATGCATTCTGTCTTACATTTGTATTTACATTTATGTCTGTTTGCTTCTTCTGTGTATTATATATTACAGGATCGGATTCATAAACGATTTTCGAAGTGTAACTTTCATTGACATGTCCCAGGTTGCTAACAGACGTAAAACCATTGCTCTTCGCATGAATATTTGCAGTTTCTGTTTTTAAAGCATTGCTTTGTAGATTTTTAATAGTCGACAAATACGAGATATCTGTATCATAGTTATTAATCGTTCGCTCAGTTTGAATTTCTGGTACTTGCGTTCCGGGAACATCAGTCATGGAAAATTTGAAAGGATTTGTATCTTTGAACATAGCGGGAAACTGGGTGTTCATATTATTTACTTCTGAGAAATTATTGAAGAAATTAGTATTTGTTGGCGCCGCAGGAGATACCGGCAAGGGAACGTTTTCGTTATTCTGATTGGCTTTTGGAAGGAAAGTACTGATTGGTAGTATATGATTAATGAACATTGAAGGTGTAGGATTTGCTGTTGAAGGAGGTATTTGCATACGTGAATTGAGTTCGTCAGATTGGTTCCAGTTGCCAATTTTAAAAGAGAAACTGTCTGAACCGTAAGGAAATGTAATGTTATTCTGTAATCTATCATCGACGTTTATGCCAAACGGATTAGACATCGAGGAAATATTTACATTAGATTCTTGATTCGCAGCAGTTTCATTGTTTAAATTGTACGACACTTTCTGTGCCAAATCAACATCGTTCAATGTCGTTCTGCTTGTAAGACTAGATGCTGTCGGAGTTTTCACGACAGTGGAACGATCATCTTTTTGTTCCAATAAAATCTTCTTAACAATTTTCAAAATCTTATTTAACTGAATCTGATCCTTCAATGAAAGTGATAAACATTTTAGCATATCACAAAGAATTTCATTCACCCCAGTATGTAATTTTTTATTTTCATTCCACATTGTTATGTATAACTGTCCGACGACATCATTAGGAATGAATTGTTCATCAGTTAGGAACGGATTCGTTGTCGCCTGCGCATCACTAAAGACTGACGCCTTCGTGTTCGATGCGTTTGATAGGTTTGCAAAGGAATAACTGTTTTGAAAACTCCTTGTCGAAGTATTAGACGGAATGTGTTGTTCATCGAGAGACTGAAAACCTGGCGGTGGTCTTACTGGCTGTTGTTGATATTGATTATCATAATGTGGAAGCGTCAGTCCGGATGAGACTAAAGGTACTTCGTATTTTTCCTCTGTCGATGTAGTTTTGTAGCAGTTCTCGGGCATCAGACTCTCCTCCGCAAAGCAATACGACGGTTTTTGGTTCACATTGTTTACCACATACTTCATTAAGCTCGCCATGTCAACGGCATCACCCTAAGTGACGAAAGTAAAAGGGAAAAGATCAGATAAAGTGATACATTTGATGAAATCATGATAAAATTTTCAATTTTAGAAAATAAACAATCAAATTTAAAATTTTAGAAAACAAATGATTGAATTTTAGATTTTCACAAGTGCTCGAATATCGATAAATTTTTAAATAAGCTCGAAATAACAACCGATTGGATTAGCCAACCTAGAATTCGGGAAAAATTATCACTTTATGAGATCGTTACAATACATATATAATAACATATATAATACATCTATAATAACTGCACATACTTTTGCACATTCAAATTTCTTTATTACAATGTGGTATTAAGTAACAACCACAATCACAAATACACATGACATCACATAAGGTTCTAATTTTTCCCAGATCATAATCATAAATTAATATCCTAATATATATGTTACATAATTCGCAAAATGATTACAGTAAACATTTATATTATTTATAGTTCAATTTCATCAATTATATAATTATTAATAATAATATATTAAAAATTATGTATTAGAATTATATTATAAATAATATAATTTAATATTACAACAATATAAATAATCTATTGTATAATAATATTAATTATAATCATCATTAATTACAATAATTATATTTTATAGCATATTAATAATTATGATATTTAAGTAGCTATATAACGCGAGCATATAGTATATTTTAACTTAAATATTATGTGATTATAATTATATATGATACAAAATCATACAAACGCATTTTTTTAACAAATAAAGTTGTTCATTTTTATGCAAAATTTTCTTTTATAACAAAATTTAAAATTTTATCATTTGGAATGTCGGTAATTTACATTGCTCGTTTAAACACTTTTGCAAGATAAAAAAGAAAGTTAGGATCTGCACCTGCATCCCATTCACTGTCATCAAATGCTTCATCGCAGTCCGGCAGAGTAAATGCTTTTTCGATCATATTCGCATCATTATTCATTAATTCGTTCATTTCAGATATATAATCCGATATATCGCCCTTATTTTTATCATTTTTGTCATCTTTGAGGCTTTCTTGGCTTAGATCGTCAGAATCCAATTCAGAATTATTATCTATATTTTGTGTAATTTTTAACATCTGTTGCATTAGTTTCGAAACGTCCATTGACGTTTGATCTATTGTAGTCAATTGATGGTTTGAACCATTAATGTTACAGAATGGAGTGATAAAATCAGAGGACTGATTTAACTGATGTTGTTTTGTGTTTTCAGCATTAGAAGAAATAACAGAATCGTTTTCCATAGACTGATTCAATCGCTGCTTTGTATCATCAACATTAGAAGAAGCAATAGAATCTGTTTCCAAGGACGAAAGATCTCTTGTTTCTTCGGAATCACTTTGTGATTCAACTGTCAACTTCAACTTCTTAGATAACTTCTCAGATGTGGACTCTTTAATTATCGTGTAAGTATTCGGGTCCATCACATTAGATGCCTCAACTTGTTCGTCGTGCGATGAGATAATAGTATCATCGAATGTATTGCAACTATAAGATGACAATGGAATTTGTTCGCTGCTGGAAGATTCGCTTGTGTTAATGGAGTTTATCGAATCCATTTGCTTCTTATGCTTTAGTTTCTCCAGTAACGTCTTAAGAGAATACGCTTTATTACTTATATTGGACTGAACGGGATTATTTGAGCTGCATTCAGATATTTCTTTATTTATATTATCTTTATTATTAGATGTATGTAAAGAAACTGACTCTGAAACTATATTGGAATCTCTATCCCTTATTTTCTGATCAGCTCTTACTTTACCATTGCATACTTTGCCATTTCTGTCTATCTTCTGATCTATTTCTTTTGAAGAAGCCATGTCATTGAGCTCAATAATATTTATGCTGGAATTCGTATCTTCAGATTGACTATTGTGCAATGTCTTAAGTTTTACGTTTGGTGTAAACATTACTGTAACAGTATGATGGTTAGATACTACATTATTTTTCAGTCTGTCTAAAAAATCAGACGCAACATCGTAATCAATGTTATCTTCAGGTAAAAAATTTTCCTTTTCCAAGGAAGTCAAGTCTAAAAAATACTGTTTTCCAGATAATTCATTTCTCTGTAATTCATTTCTTTGTAATTCATTTCTCTGATTATGCGATCCTGATTTATCTTCTACATCACTCTTGTACTCTGTCATTGGTGTAATAGTTCTATGAGCAAGATTATTCTCCTCCCTTATTACTGACCAATCGATAGGTTCCATTAAGCCATGTCCACCATATAAACTCCTAAATGTCCCAAAATCATTCTGATCATTTTCATCGTCGGAATTTCGTAAACTGAAGTTCATTAAACAATCTTCAATGCTATACCGCGATTCTTTATTCTTGCTTGAATCGATTTGTTTTACATTATTTTCGTTATCCATATTTGCCTCGAAAGTGTTTAAATTTGAACTGGATATTCCATTAAATTTTGATTTTTCTAATTTTTTAAACACTGAAATAACTTCTTTAAATTCTTTAGGCGTCTTCGATCTCCCATTTTGCGAATATGATGAATTATTCGACTGCAATTTAGCATCCAGTGACTTAGTATCTGAAGAGTTAGCACCCAACGACGTATTTGGAGACTTAGCATCCAGAAATTTAGTAGGCGTAGATTTAACGGATGGAGATTTAATATGCAAAGACTTAGCATCCGGAGATTTATTGAATAACTGTAGAACCTTTTTTTTACAGTCCGGAAGGTTATGAGAGAACTTGATAGTTTTCCTTTCAATATCTTCGCTTTTTACATTGGATAATACATGCATTCTTTCATCATGCAATATCGATTGATTTCTACAGTGTCGCGGTTTATTTACACTGGCTTTGCGTCTTGTAAAGAATGTCCTCATAGACGGAGCAGAGTTGAAATCAAACATCATAAAATTTTTTATATCATTTATACGCACCGTTTTACCAAATTGCGCTAGTTTCTCTTTCACTAACCAATTGTTTATACACACATCCTCTTCTTCGCTTGTATCGGTCAAAACGATCAACATGGAATTGTTCTATGAAAATAATCAGAGAATTAATTTAATAATAAATTTGTAATAAGTTATTATACATAATTTAATGTTTTAGAAATTAAAAAATAAGATGTAATTTATTTTTTAATATTAAAAATTAAAATAAAAAAAATTGATATAAACAAAATAATTATAAAGATAATAAAAATAATACAAAATAATAAAAACATAAAGACAGAATTATAAAATATATATAATTTAGAATTAAGAATTAAAACATTTTAAATTTTAGAAATAAAAAAATAATCTCACCGGAGGATCGATAGTAATTATAGTTGCAGCTAGAAGGGTCTCATTGACTTTATCATAGAATTGTTCATATACGCTCCTCTTCCAGCGATCACCAACATTTGGTTTAACATTATATAAACCGCAAGGTATTGCTTGGGCGGGCAAACCGGAAAACTTTAAATGTAAATAATATATATCTTCAGGTGCATATGCCTTCACAGTGCCGAAATCATAAAAAAATACCTATTTTGGAAGATAAAATTATTATATATTAAAACATAATTTCTGAACATTAATGAAAATAATTGTCAAAAACTCATTGTACTAACCGTTACTCTGAAATCTGGTTTTACACTCTTAATGATTCCTCGATGCCAGTTACCATCAAAAACGCATGCACAATTCAAGTCCTTTTTCAAGGCGACTTTTGCAATGATATATTTATCTTTGTTAAGTATATAGAAATTTCTGAAAACAAGACATTTTTGATTCAAATTTTAATACAAGCATTGACAAAAAACTGTATTAAGATTGGTCAACTACTTACTGTAGTTCATCCATCATTTTATTAAATCGTTTTTTGTTTTCTCGGAGATGTATCCAGAAAAAATTTGGATGAAACACTTCTACAACATATGTCTCTAAGAACTTTTTGGTGCGTTTTAAATCAGTTACTAGTATTTTATCTACATCATCGCCATAATTCATTACACCCTCGGGAGCAAACTTCTTGGTAATGGAAGATGACTGTAAAATTATATAGATCATCAGAGTCAGTGAATTATCATATATCACAAATAATAAACGTTCTTCTGACATCCATTATAATAAAAGTATCAATATCATTATAATAAACATATTTTATACAAGAATTACATTTAATTAAATTAACCCAATATATAGAAGATATAAAGAAAAAATATTATAGATACACACATTTTTATATATTAAAAAAATTACGTTATTCGTGAATTTATTTTTGTACTTAAATATATAATAATACACTTTCTGTTTGAAATAAAAATTGAACACAAAAGAATTAATGTTTAGCTTATATCATTTATAGATCTTAATTTCTATCATTGGTAAGAATTAGCGTAACATTTTAAATAAACTTTAACCAGTTTCAATATTTTTTATGATAAAATATTTTTTAAAATAAAAGCTTGTTTTTAAATAAAATCTACAGCATCTAAAACAATTCAACAAAAAAATCACATTTTTTTTCTTCTGAGACATATTCTGTAGGACATATTCTAAATATTTTTTCGCGTTCAACACGATGCTGTTGTCAGAATTTGCAGTCTTTCAGGAATTATAGGATGCGTTTCGAGTTATGCACATAGTGCGTAGATTGTAGAAAGTCGTTTCGATTTAATCAATATGCGCATGGAAGCGCTTAGGTAGCGCTGAGAATTTCCTAGTATTTGTACTATCCATACTAAATTCTTAAGGCTTTAGCAGAAAGGTGACTTATGGGCCTTCTACAATAATAAGTTATTAGTCATAAATCAAAAGTTGGAAATTGACGACTGTGATTGGTCAATTTCCAGCTTCTAATTTCTGATTTATGATTAATGGCTTATTGTAGAATGCGTGTTAAGACAGTGTCTTATAATTTGTGAGTAATTATACTATTATATTTGTGAGTAATTATATAGGGGACTTCCCCTTCTATGACCTTGATCTTGTCTCATATATTGTCAAGATCATGACCCTGTTTTAGTCATCCTTCATAATTAAAAAGTTATTAACAAAAGAAGTTTGAAAAATGATATCTCTTTTTTACTACATAAATTTTCTCTTTGAAATATATTTTACAACTTTCCACGCGAAGCGACTTTCACCCCAATCTCCGATAAATTTTAGTCGTGGCTCATTATTCATTAAAAAGTTATTAACAATCAAAGTTAGTAATTATTTCTCTGCTTTACATGAAGAGTTAAACAACTTTAGACAGAGAGAGAAGTGAGGTGGACGAATTCAAGGAACTACAACTTTCTGTGCAAAACTTTCACCTCCCTCTCTCCCCTCCTTAGGGGCGCAAGACTTCCACACGAAGTGATTCTCTCCCCACCTCCTTCCCTGCTTAGGGACACATGACTTCCAAGCGCAAACTTTCGAAGTCCTGTTGGAGATTACTCCGAATCACGACTTCAAAAGTCGTTTCGTGTGTATATTCGTGTGTAATGGAATCCATAGACATTGCAAGATTCGAGATGATCTTAAGTTGGTGTTTGAAATGTCATGAATCGATTAGAAAATGGTATTAGCATCTTAAGACACTGCTTGAGATTGTCTTGAGATTAAGAACAGATTATGGATTTCGGCCTAAGTTGTGCGCTCCTAAGCAGAGAGGGAAATGGGGTGAGAGTCGATTCGCATGGAAGTCGTGCGTCCCTAAACAGGAAGGAGGTAGGGTGAAAGTCGCTTCTCGTGAAAATTGTTTGTCCCTTAGCAGGGAGGAGAAGTGGGAAGTAAAAGTCGTTTGCATAAAAAGTTGTATTCCTTGAATTCGTCCTCATATTTCTCTATCTAAAGTTGTCTAACTCTTCATGTAAAGCAGGAAAATAATTACTAACTTTGATTGTCAATAACTTTTTAATGAATAACGAGCGACGACTAAAATTTATCGAAGGTTACTCAAGATCATGACCTTAACAATATATATCAATATCAAGGAGGGAGTTCCCTATTTAATGTATTTAACTCTAAAGACATACCAAGACTTAAGTCATAAGACACTGTCTTAAGAATAGAAATCAGCCTTTCTGCTACAGCCCTTAACACTTTTTTCAATGCATTAACTGCTTTTATTGAGAATACAAATAAGTTTCCGCCGTTTGCAAAAGACGGCGCCACTAATAAATTATAATTAAAATTGTTTGATGTAAAACGACATATCATAAGATTGGACATTCGGCAATACCATAACCTTGAAATATTAGCGATTTTGTATCAGCATCATATATTTTTTTTGTACGAAAATGTCGAGTTTTGAGCCGAATAAGCATCATTTGCGGAAACTTTTGATTTACTTCTTTAATTTGAAGAAATCTGCAGCTGAGGCTCATAGATTGCTTGTAGAAGCATATGGTGATGCTGCCTTAAGTGAGAGAAGTTGTTGTGAATGATTTCAAAAGTTTAAGAACGGTGAATTTGACGTCGAAAACAAAGAACGTAGCGAAAGGCCGAAAGTGTACGAAGACGCGGAATTGGAAGCATTATTGGATGAAGATTCGTGCCAAGCGCAAAAAGAACTTGCACTTACATTAGGAGTGACTCAACAAACAATTTCATATCGTTTGAAATCATTGAGAATGATTCAAAAGCAAGGGAATTAGGTTCCATATGAACTGAAACCGAGAAACGTTGAACGCTGATTTTTCACACGTGAAATGCTGCTTGCAGGCATAAACGAAAGGATTTTTTGTATCGTATAATCACTAGTGATGAAAAATGAATCCACTACGATAACCCAAAGAAGAGGAAATCATGGGGACCACCTGGCTATGCTTCAACATCGATAGCCAAGCCGAATATTCATAGAAAAAAACTCATGTTGTGTATTTGGTGGGATCAGCTTGGTGTCGTGTATTATGCTATTGAGTTGCTCAAACCGAACGAGACCATTACTGGGGCTCTCTACCGAACACAATTGATGAGATTGAGCCGAGCACTCAAAAAGAAAGCGCCCACTACTACTCCAGGCATGATAAAATTGTCTCCTGCATGATAATGCTCGATCACATGTTGCGACGCTGGTCAAAACCTACTTAGAAACACTCAAATGGGAAGTTCTACCCCACCCGCCGTATTCTCCAGACATTGCTCCTTCCGACTACCACTTATTCCAATTGATGACGCATGGCCTGTCTGAGCAGCACTTCACATCATATGAAGATACCAAAAATTGTATCGATGATTGGATAGCCTCAAAAGATGAAGCGTTCTTTCGACACGGTATCCACATGCTACCAGAAAGATGGAAAAAAGTAGCTAGCGATGACCATTACTTTGAATAAAACATTATGTACCATTCTTTCACAATAAATGCTTAATTTTTTATTAAAAAAGCGGAAACTTATTTGTACTCCCAATATTTTAAGGCAATTGAGGCATTCATGCAGGCGTTCTATGTATTTCATATGTAATTCGGAACAAATATTCGTAATATGCTGTGACTCTTAAATGAATTGGAAATCCTTCTAATAGCTCTAAATAAAGAAGAAAAAAACCGAATATTATAAAGAAACAAATAACTTGAAATCTTGAAAATTGTTTATATTATAATTAGTTTGTTTCATCTTAATTAATTGCCGAGTTTTAAATTTGAAAATCTTCAAAGTTTACTGTTATGTTACGTACTTTTAACAATTAAAAATGAAATAAAATAATATTGTATATGCTAAAATAATATTGTATAGTAATATAATACAATTTAAAATATAACATTTTGATAAAATTTCCCCTTTAGTCAGCCCCAAATGACTCAAGAAGGTCATTGACCTTTTCCGTCGCTCGTTCATTAAAAAGTTATGATTATGAACAGAACAATTTTTATGAATAGCACACAATTTTTAAACATAAGGAACATATTTCAGTATTTTCCTTTGACAGGAAGAAGTGAAAGTCATGCGCCCCCAAGTAGGAAGATGGGGTGGGAATCGCTTCGCGGAGATCATTTGAGACTAACTGTGTAAAGAGGAAATCTCCTCTTTTGGTTTGTTGGTTTTACCAACATTTTTATTCTTAATATTTTTATAGTTTGCAATTAATGAGCAGACCATGCAAGAAATAGTTCCGAATAATTAAAGCGCTTCATGCGCATTAATTTTATTAATAATAAAATGGAACGATTTCAAAGCACTGCGCAACAGTAATATAGTTCATGCGTTTCATATGCAAATCGAAACGCACCTATAGTATATTAAGATAAAATGGGTAAAAAACTACCTCAATTTACTAAAAATCATGATGTGCTGTGCAAATTCTGACGGCGTCGTGTTTGTCTCAAAAAAAATCTTCGGAGTATGTATTGTATTACCGAATAGTACGAAGTAGGTACTTTGAAAAAAAGAAAAAGATTTTTTGTTTGACTGTGTAATTATATTATTATACAAAAGTCTAAATTCAAACAGTCATAACTTGATAAAAATAAGTTGTATGATGAACTAAAATTTATTTAGAAGTTCTTGAATTTATTTTTAAATAAATTTTAATTCATCCTATAACTTATTTATTGAAAATTTGATTTAAAAACAAGATTTTTTGCTAAAAAAAAAAATATCGAAAATGACTTTCTTCGTATTTCACATCAATTTAAAAATTTTGACGCCAAAATTTTGACATGCTACATTTTATCAATGACATAATGTTCAATACAGAAAAATTTTCAAGAAATGTTGCACTTCCGAGAAAAAAAATACTTTTGTGTCAAAGTATTATCATGATTAATCCTTAATAAACGGCATACATGGTACAGTCATTTGTGTCCATGTGTTTTCTAATAATTTCCTTTTTCTGATCTAAAAAGTAATTTTTATAATTTTTCCAAATTTTTTTTCCAACATCTACATAGTAAAATAATTTGACCTTAAAAAAACATGTGTGAATTTTAACAAAATTGTTCGAGCACTTTAAAAGTCTCAAAATTAGGTCGCACACAAATGATCTATGTGTATCGTTTAAAGGTACTAAAAATAAATGTGCCATTTAATAATGTATGGAATGACTCACGAGAAAATATACTTTGCAATCCTAGAGCTAATTCTAAAATCAAGCATGTTATCAGTTAATAATTTATTACGTACAATTTCTGATGGGATTGGGTCATTGTCAGAATTATTGTATTCCACTGTTCTGTGTTCATCGTATTGATGGTCATATGATGTTTCATTAGACTCCGCTTTTGGAACTACTGGCCTCTTATTTGCACTATATAACTTAAAGTCATCAGTTTTGTTAACTTGTGTCATGTAGAAAATTTTCGGTAAGTAAGACGTAAATTCACGCACACTTGTGAAGCCCAGGTTGTTATAATTCAGATGAACCTTATACTCTTTAAGATATAAATCGGGCAGCTCAGCACACCAGATGCCATCCGGATATTTTTGCAATAATTTCTCCAATCGAGCCTTTATTCTGTCGCTTACTATCTCGGATTTGTCTTGCGGATATTCGGTAGCCCTCATTTCCATATAATTATTATTCATCATCAAGCTTTCAAAGATTTCATTATTATCTGGGTTCTTGCTGTAATTGAACATGTCAGTTTGTTCGGATTGCACATGCTGTGCAAGATTCGTTGCAAGCATCTCACTTGTTTTTGGATATTTCTGGCAGTTATCGATATTGTTTTTACTACAGGGTAAAACAAAATAATCTTCATCTTCATCATTAAAATAATCTAATTCAAAGTCCTCCTCTCCGGCAGGATATTCAGTTTGTTGTGTCGGAGGCGAGATTGAATCGCCCGGTAACTTAGATTCGTTAATCCATAACTGCATTGAAGACTCTTCCACTAAAGGTTGTTGATTACTTGGCTGCTGGACTACGTTATTTTGTAAACCATTCTGAATCGCATATATCATGTTGCCATCTATGCACAACTGATGCGTTACTTCACGCAATTGCGCTCGCAAATCTTGATAAGAGATAGGAACATACTGTATTTTCGCTTGTACATATAGCAAAGCATTCTGCAAACTCATACCATTTGGATGGGTTTTGATATGATCAACAAGATCAATTAACGTGCTATTTGGGATTCTAATTGGAATCCTTGCATGTTGGTTGCGACGATTAAATGTAGTAGCTTGACGAGATGGATATCTGGTTCTTAAGTTCTTGTTGGAGGAATTTCTCTGACGTGACACCAATGAACTCACATGCTTACTTTTATCCGCTATCCCGCGTACATAGTGACCACCGTTAGCCTCTTCGACAATGAAATGCTCCGGCATGCTTTGAAGAAATTGTACTAAATTGTTACAACCAAATTCACGATAAGGTATACGGTTCTTCTCCATGTTATAATAATCCCTTTCAAGAACAACTACAGGTGTCGCATCTTTTCTGGAGATTAATAACGATAGCAGAAGCGTACGAACTTCATCTTGGTTCCCCATCTCTGTTTGATTAAAAAAAAAATATTTTTATGAAATTAAAATCTTATGAAATTAAAACACAAAAAATATTATAATTAACCTACACTATCATATTATATTTGTCAACGAAATTTACCACATTTAAGTAAAATTTACTTGGCTGTCTATTTTGTGATAGAATTTTTTAAAATGCATCGGTTTAAAACTTCTTTTTTACCTAACTGATCTCAATCCCACTTCTTCATCACCTTATCGGAATGATGCACACTTCAAAAATAGTTCAGGTAAATTTTACTCAATATATAGGGTACAAAAAAAATGTTAGAGATTCATAAAATATATCAGTATATTATTATATCAGTATATTACGATAAAAAATGAGACTAGTATAAGTTATTAACTTGTTAATAACTTATACTAGTCTCATTTTTTACTTATACTTAATCTATAAAATTACATATGTAATATACAGCAAACTGTTTCATGATCTATTTACATATCATAGCAATAACTGTTTTAATTTTTGTGCTTGTTAATTAAAAGCACATGTAACGAATAATCAATATTATAAATATTATAAAACAATATTCATAATTTATTATACAGAGTGTTATACAGAGTTTTATAAATATATGCCGATATTTTAAGAAGTAAATCTTTACACTAAAATAAGTAAAAAAACATCATATGAATATATGTTCTACACATCTTAGATTTCAAATTATGGATGATTAAAGAAAATGCTCAAAGTATTCGTCTCGTGCATCAATATACGCTATTGCAAGCCCTAGCATTAAATTCCGCACTCGTTCAAAAATAGTAGATATTCTCCGAATAGTCTCAAATTCATTATCTTTTCTCGCAGATCATTCACATCGTTTACTGGCGTTAAATACACAATAGATTTTAAATGACTCCAATGAAAATCTAATGGATTAATCAGAAGATTGTGGCAGCTATAGAATGGATCCATTTCGCTTTATCCGTCGGTTTACGAGCATTAGGAATGTTCTCGTTTCAAGATGGAAATGAAGTGGAGTACCATGCATGAATCACAAATTTTGCTTGATAGCTAAGGGTATCTGTTAGAAAATTTGTGTCGCTTTTAGAACAGTATTTAGAACAATAACTTATGAGCATAAAATACTAACTGCCTTAAATTCTATTCTGATTTAATGAATATTGTTTCTAAAAACATTAGATAATTTGAAACGTGTTAAGCTGTATAGTAACGTGTGTTGATGCACGAGTGAATACTTCGAATATTTTCTTTAATCATTCATAATTTGAAAACTAAGATATATATTCATATGACATTTTTACTTATTTTAGTGTATAGATTTGCCTCTAAAGTATTGACATGTATTTATGAAATATCCTGTGTGTAAAATCATCTCAAATCTAAGATCTGTTCTTTGTAACTAAACTTGTATACAACTTGTATATAAAATAAGTTTGATAAAAGTGAAATAAAAAATTTTAGTATAGTCTAATGCAGTGATAAAAGGTCTTCCTTTTAATTGAATTTCTTGCTTAGTTTATCGTTTCTCTTTTTCTTTCATTGAAAAGAAAAAGAGAAAGATATTAGTGCAAAAAAAAAGAAAAAACTAAAAAGAATAAATTTAAAGAACCTCTACGTGATAAGCTGATTTTAAATGAATTCATGTATATGAAAAAATCATCAACATATAGGAAATTATAAACAGAAACGCATTTTCTATCCTGAAATCTATATATATATTATCAATTCAACTTTTCTTATATGTTTAAAATGTTATGACTTTCAAATCTAATTCTAGAATATATTTTACTACTAGATTTAATTATTAATGTCACTTGAATGTCATTTTAATCGCTGGTTAATTCTATTATTAATCTATAATTGAAGCACATGAGTTCTGATGACTTTAACTTTTTATAATTATTAAATTATAATAATTTTGAATAATATTGTTTTACACTCTTATTTTTCTTTGTTTAAAAC